CCAAACCATCTCTACATGAAACACTTAAGAAAGTACTAAACACAGAAGAAAAGGAAAAAAGAACAATGTTCTTCACAAGAGTACAGGGAAAAGAATAAAATATACACGAACCAACCCCATAACCAAAAGAAAGACAAAAGAAAAAGAAAAAACCAAGTGGAAGAACAACAATTCAATGAGAACTCCATGATAGGGACGAACTCTCACATTTCAATAATTAGTCTGAATGTGAGTCGACTAAACGCACCACTGAAAAGACATAGAATGACAAAATGGATAAAATATAACCAGGCAACAATATACTGCCTTCAAGAGACCCATCTCACTAGAAAGGATATACACAGACTCAAAGTCAGAGGATGGGAAACAAATTTTCAGGCGAATGGAACACAAAAGAAAGGAGGAGTTGTGATCCTAATTTTAGACAAAATACCATTTAAGCTATCAAAAATTTAAAAAGATACAGAGGGCCACTACATAATGATAAAAGGTTCACTCCATCAACAAGAAATATCTATCCTAAACATATATGCACCCAACATAAGTGCGCCAACATTCATAAAGCAACTTCTAGGAAAACTAAAGAAAGACATTGACTCTAACACCATCATAACTGGGGACTTTAATACACCACCCACAACCCTAGACAGATCATCAGGACAAAAAATCAGTAAGGAGATCCGGAACCTCAATGAGACTCTGGACCAAATAGACTTAATTGATACCTACAGAACACTCCATCCAAAGACCACAGAATACACATTCTACTCATCACCGCATGGAACATATTCTAAGATCAACCACATAATTGGACACAAATCAAGCATAAGCAAATTTAAAAGGACTGAAATTCTACCATGCACCTTCTCAGACCACAGTGGAATAAAAATAAACATTGACACCAACAAGGTCCCCCCAAAACCCACAAAGACCTGGACACTAAACAGCATGATGCTAAACAACTCCTGGGTCAATGATGACATCAAAACAGAGATCAAAAGATACCTGGAAACAAATGAAAATGAAGAAACATCTTACCAAAATCTCTGGGACACCTTAAAAGCTGTAACAAGAGGGGAATTTATATCCCTACAAACACACATGAAGAAAATAGAAGGAACAGAAATTCACAACCTAACAAGCCACCTAAAGAAGTTGGAAAAGCAAGACCACAAAAACCCTAATTTCAGCAGAAGAATCCAGATCACCAAAATAAAAGCCCAAATCCAGGACATAGAAGACAAAAAGATAATAGAAAAAAATCAATGAAATAAAAAGCTGGTTCTTCGAAAGAATAAACAAGATCGATGGTCCCCTAGCTAGACTGACCAAGAAAAAACGAGAAAAAAACAAATAAGCACAATCAGAAACACAAAAGATGAAGTCACATCTGACCCTGAAGAAATACAAAAGATCATTAGAGACTACTACATACAGTTGTATGGAAACAAACTTGAAAACCTTAAGGAAATGGAGAACTTTCTGACATCACACAACCTACCTAAGTTGGAACAAGAAGAAATTTAGACCCTAAATAAACCAATAACAATCAAGGAAATCGACTACATAATAAGAAAACTCCTACAAAA